CCCGCCCTAACCGCCCCACGGGTCCCTCCACCCGCAGGGCCCACCTTGAGGTCGAAGTGCGCGATGCGCTTGGAGTGCAGGTAGTGCACGCCGTCCAGGATCTGCTTGAGGAACTGCGTGGCCTCGTCCTCCGTGAGCGACTCCTTCTCCGCCAGGAAGTCGAAGAGCTCGCCGCCCGACACCAGCTCCAGGATGAGCACCACGTCCGTCTTGTTCTCGAAGATGTCGTGTAGCGTGATGATGTTGGGGTGCCGGATCTCGCGCAGGATGCTCACCTCGCGCTCGATCTCCTCGCGGCTCACGCCCCGCCGGCTGGACGACAGGCGGCGCTTCTTGATGAACTTGGCCGCGTACTCCTTGCCTGTGCCCTTCTGCCGGCACTTGCGCACGATGGCGAACTGGCCGCTGCACAGGGGGGGCGAGGGCAGGTGAGGGGAGCAGCCACGAGAGCCCCCCACCCCGCCCGGGGCCAGCGCTGGGCCACGGCCGACAGCGCCAGGACGCTTGTGGCATCAAGCCCACGGAGGGCTCAAGCATCAGGGGGAGCCAGGTCAGATCACGAAAGTCCCACAGGATCAGATCGTCACCAGAGCTGGGTCAGCTCTGTAGGGAGCCGAGAAGACACCCTGAGGCCTCCTCAGTGCGAAAGGCCAGCTCAGAGCCGCAGAGCATGGCGTTTGCTTGAGGAGAGGCTGGCGGCTGGAACCTGCAGGCCGGGAGTGGAGGCTCTGCATACACTTGAACTTTCTCCACAGCGGATTTCACTTTATCATGTTTTTTATTTTTGGGGTCGGAGTTTCACTCTGTCGCCCAGGCTGAGGACAGGGGCACGCTCACGGCCATCACGGCCTCGACCTGCTAGGCTCAGGCCGACCTTCTGCTTCAGTCTTCCAAGTAGCTGGAACCACAGGTGCTACCATGCCTGGCTAATATTTTGATTTCTTGTAGAGACGAGGTCTCACCAAGTTGCCCAGGCGGGTCTCGAACCTCTAGGCTCAGGCAGTCCTTTGGCCTCTGCATCCCAAAGCACTTTATCATGTTTTAAACTGACTGCAAAAGAGCTCCATACGGGCAGAGAGAAAGACGCAGGCGTTCCGATCAGAAGACAAGAGTAAAGATGGCCGGAGGCCCACACGCTGGCGGAATGGCCACGGCACCTCAGGACATCACATGCAGGGCCCCCATGATGGCTGGCACGCCTGTTCCCAGATCTCCCCGTGAGCACCGGGAAGAGTCCACACAAAAACCAGAATGTTCTCAACCGCATGATTCATAGTCACCAAAGTGTAAATGACCCAAGCATCCATCAATACACAACAGAGCAACACAGCATGGCCGTCCACATGTGGAACACGACTCAGCCACAAAAGGGAAGGAGGCTCTGGCACAGCCACGGCAAGACCCAGACGTGAAAGGACGCACAGTGTGTGACTCCATTCCTATGAAATGTCCAAAACAGACGCGTTCACAGAGCCAGGACGTGGATTCGTAGGTGCCGGGGACTGGGGAGGGGTGGGGAGTGATGGCAGACAGGGGTGGGGTTTCCCTGGGGGGCGGCTTAGTCGGACGTTATAAGGAGCACCCGAGACTGGGAAACTTATGAAGAACAAAGGCCGCTCTGGCCACGATGCTGATGTCTGGAAACGGTGGAGACTGGGGGGCCCGGAGGCTTCAGGAGCCGTCCACCCTTCCAGATGCACAGAGACAACGTGGCCAGAGAGGAGGGGGCGCCCGGCTCCTCTTCACGACCAGGGAGGGCACTGGTCTACCCAGAGGGATCAGCCCCCACGACCCAATTAAAAGCAGTAACAACATCGACGTCGACCATTTCCCACACGCCAGGGACCCTGTGGGAAGCACCAGACACGTGGCTTCATTTTAAAATCCACGGCTTTCATGTCTCCGGTACTCCTCCAAGCTGAACTAGGGAATACAGGAGAGCAGCTCAGAGTTCCCAGGAACAGATGAGGAGACACCTGTGGCTGAACAGCGTCCCCACAACTCCCTGCTCAAGTCCAGATCCCAAAACCCAGGTTGTGACTGCTGAAGGCAAGGTGTTGGGGGGAGGGGAGGGAAGGCGAGGTCACGTGGTGGCCCAACAGCCGAGCACCCACGACAGCCAGAAGACACAGGGGAAGGCCAGGCAGGGTGGTGCAGTCGGGAGGCTGAGGCGGAAGGATCACCCGAGCCCAGCAGGTCGAGGTAGCAGTAGTTGGAACTGTGCCACTGCCCTCCAGCCTGGGTGACAGAGTGGGACTCCGACTCAAAGGAAAAAGAAGCTAACAGAATGAGCGCATGGCCTGGCACTCCTGCTCCCGGGCATTTACCCAAAGGAGAGGTGACAAGTGTGTGTTCAGGACACCCACACCCCCTGGTCACTTTGGCACTGTCACAACCGCGACATGACACGGAATCAACCTAGGCGGCTGACAACAGCCGAACAAATGAAGAAAACGCGGTCTACATGCACAAGGAACACCCTTCAGCCGCAAAAAAGATGACATTCTGTTGTCTGCAGCAGCATGGAAGCCTGGGGGATGTCCCGTGAAGGGAAGTAAGCCAGGAACAGGAAGTCAACTCCACGTGTTCTCCTCGTCTGTGAATGTTTTAGAAAGCTGATCTCATAGAAGTAAAACAGCACACAAGCCTGGCACTGTGGCTTATGCCTGTCATCCCAGCACTCTGGGAAGCTGAGGCGGGAGGATCACCTGAGCCCAGGAGGCCACTACACTCCAACCTGGGGGACAGAGTGAGACCCTGATTCAAAAAGAAAAAAAGAAACTGTCATGGTAAACTTTGCCACTTTTGCCACACCACCCCTAGCAGGAATCCGAAGCATCTCTAACAATAGAGTATGAGATGTCCCCTAGTGGGGGGAGGGTGTGCCCCCTCTTCCCTGTAAGGGAGGAAATTCCTGAAGGAGGGTGCTCAGGATCCCCAAGGAGTCTGGCCACTCTGCCTGACCACGGCTCAGTTATTTACATTCCCTTCCAGTGACATCACGGGGCGGGCCCAGGCAGCGGGGAGGCCAGCCGGCAGCAAACTCACCAAATAAGGTTTGAGGCTTCACACAAAGGGGCTGGGCCTGGCGGTGTAAGGCCCAGGGCCTCCAAGACCCAGACAGGCAGGAAGTCAGCTGTCTCCTGGGAACCCTCACTCTTTCCCACAAGAATGCAAAACAACTGGAGGGTGGGCCCAGGCAGGAGCCCCCATCCCCCCTGAAACGTGCCAGAGCTGGGAAAGCTCGCATGCCTCCCACAAAAAAGAATTAAAGTGGGGAACGGTCCTGTATGTTCCTGAGGCAGGGTCCCCCTCTGTCCCCCAGGCAGGAGCGCAGTAGACTCACCACAGCCTCAACCTCCTGGGCTCAGAGGATCCTCCCACCTCAGCCTCCCCAGTAGCTGGGACTACAGGCACGTGCCATCATACCCGGCTTTTTTTTTTTTAATGTTTCTTTTTTTTGGAGAGATGAGGTCTCACTATGTTGCCCAGGCCGATCTCAAACTCCCGGTCTCAAGCGATCCTCCTGCCTCAGCCTCCCAAAGTGATGGGATGACAGGCATGAGCCCCCTTGTCCAGCCAGAGACAGACCTTTTGAGAAGAAAAGCAGCCAATATCTCAATATCTCTTGCTCTGCCATGGTAGGTGCCGCAACTACTCGTAACTACTTATGTTTCCCTCCAAACGAAATACACGGAGTTCACGGCTGGGGCAGTCTGCCCCCAAAGCCTGAAGTTGTTCCACCAGCCCACGGCCCTGACTCACTCCTTGGGGTACGGGACTGTAAACCCAGGTAGCAGGACTGATTGCTGAGAAACCCCCAAGTGTCCCCTCCCACCTGGCAGGTCCTGCTCACCTGCCCAGCTCCTCCCCCATATCATAGTGGTCTTCCACATCCTCCTGCCGGAACGTGGCCATGGCGGCTGCCTGCTTCCAGCAGCTTCCACTCCAGAGCAAGCGCTGTCGCTGCAACTGGGGACCTCGGGGAGGTCCTGGAGTGTGACCCTGGGGGAGACAGGGAAGGAATGAAAGCAGGGTTGAGAGGCCACCCTCTGGCCAACACTCTGCTCGGAAGCTCTAAGCTCCCGGAGAGGCGCTGCATTTAGTAAGCAGGGCCTGGTCGCATGTCACCTTTTGTAGCCGCGATAACCACCCCAAGGTCAGTATCAGTCCCACGGGGCCAGCTCTGTCCCAACAAATCCCTCTAGTTACATGACTCGGATTTCCCAAGCCCCTCGGCCTGTACAAGTCACACTAGAGGTGCAGTAGCTCACACCTGTAATCCCAGTACTTTGGGAGGCCAAGGCAGGAGAATCACTTGAGGCCAAGAGTTTGAGATTAGCCTGGGCAACATAGTAAGACCCTACCTCTACCAAAAAAAAAAAAAAAAAAGGCCAGGCACAGTGGCTCATGCCTGTAATCCCAGCACTTTGAAAAGCCGAGGTGGGAGGACTGCCTGAGCCCAGGGATTCAAGACCAGCCTGGGCAACTTGGCAAGATCTCGCCTCTACAACAAACCAAAAAATTAGCTGGGCGTGGTGGCGCATGCCTGCGGTTTCAGCTACTTGGAAGTCTGAGGCGGAAGAATGGCCTGAGCCCAGCAGGCTGAGACTGCCATGGCCGGGAGCGTGTCACTGCACTTCAGCCTGGGCGACAGAGTGAGATCCCAACTAAAAAAAAAAAAAAAAGGCCAGGCCTGGCGCCGCGT